TCTTAAAAGTTCACTCTAGATCTGTGAATCATTTCATTTCCATACGGTACCAAATTTAACTGGAGATTGAAAGGTTTGCCTGAATCTGGTGATTCTTTTAAATGTTTGCAGAGGCTCATTATTGTTGTGTGGCAACGCTCAGCGGAGTTTTCGGAACTATTTTCACTTGCAACTCCACCGAGAACACAAAACTCTGACAGCAGTAAAGGTTGTCATGAGGTTCACTCTGTCCGTTGACATATCTGCCTGGCTGACATTCAAAAGGCTACAGTTTGGACAATTTCCAGCAGCAGTAATATAGGTACTGCCAAAAAACACTGGTATGCATCACATTTTGGAAATCATGTGTATGATTTGTGCCATATTGTGTCTCTGCCAGGTGTTGTGGGTCTGCAAGTAGCAGCTGCTGCTTTCTCCATGTTGAAGCTGATCAGGGGAAAATCCTGTAGACTCGATCGAGAACCACTAACTCTGTATGCTTCCATATAAATCTGACAACAGATCAGTTGTGTCAACAAACTCGAGACTGACCTTCTTGTCTGGTCAATCAAATCGCAAAAGATGTTTGTTTTTTTAAAAGGATATTTGAGTTTCCAACTTTCAAACATCTCTGAATGCAGCGCTAATCTAGGCCCAGCAGTTACTACTTTAATTCTGGTTATCAGGGGAGAATTTTCCCTTGTGGATGTTAGTGTTATGAAATCAAATGCCTTCAACCTGCAATGACAGCATGATGGCAGTACTTATTTAATTCAATCTGTTTACAGAAAGAGTCTCAGATTGTGATTTAGGTTTTTTAAACCTTTGTTGAACAGACTCTTAACACTTATCTACCTGGATGATTCAGCATACCTCTTTTTATGGACTGTATGATAGACATGTAGAAAGTTTCTGTGACGTGTTTCTAACTTTTTACAGTGATCATTGTATTTGTAGATTTTGGTGAGCCATTTCTCACATTTCCTTTTTTTTGAGTACCTGCAACATGACTGTTATATGCAGATTCAGCATTTTTTGATTTCTTATTTTTTATCTTTGACTGTTCAAATGACCTGTTTTGTTTAGATTTTCTTTGTAAATATTGTGCAACATGTCACGTTTTGTTTATTTGATATGAAGGTTTTAAAGGAAAAAAAACACAACATGTTCAGGCAATTTTTGTTGAGAAATAAAACAAAAAGCATGAGAAGTCAATGTTTGGGTGTCGCTGTGTCGATTCTGATGAAATCTCTGCTGAAAGGTTTTTCGTTAAGAAGCATTTAATCCGAATATAATATAAAGTTTCTCTTGAAATTGCTGCATATAAATGACTATACAGACTATACACACATTCTAATCAAGTCTTTCACTTTAAGTCCATGTTACAGAAGCACACAGATCCTCTGAGGAGATGCTCCGTAATGTAGTGTTGTTTCTGCACAACCTAGAAATTCAGCCAGCACATGGAATGACTTTTATTTTTTTTTATAAAGACTCCATTCTGTCCTTTTAGTAACCACATGCAGGCATTTTAAGGTGCTTTCAAACCAAATATCAAATACTGGGCCGTCTCGTCGTGGCTGATTCTGACTGGTTTTGGCCCCATGTGACTTGATTGGTGGATCAATGTTGATGGCTGGATCACTGATACAGTTCCCCCTCTGTTTGTGACCCAGCTGGGCTGTGGAACACAGCTCTGGACATGATGTTAGCCTCATCTCTTCACTTCTTCATGATAGAGGAGATATCCAGAAACATACTCTGAGAAAAAACAAGAAGGCATAAAACACTAATTGTATACCCGCAATCCACGAAAGCCAGCACATCTTTCAATATTTATACATGACGCCATTACTACATCTGTGCACTTTATGTACACAAATACACTTAAGTTAAGGGATGCACTTTCACATTAGAGGACAATATAAA